TCTCCTTGCTACGTTTCTGGACTTGGGAACATTTCAGTTGCGTTGCTGTCTATGCAGGGTCAGACAGCTCTCAGATTCCATCAAAAATATCTTAATTTGTGTTCCGAAGATGAACGAAGGTCTTACGGGTTTGGAACGACATGAGGGCGAGTAATTAATGACAGAATTTTCATTTTTGGGTGAACTAACACTTTAAGGTGTTTGTTTTTTTTTTTGGAGGAGGGGGCATTGAGCATTTGTTTGTAATTATTATCTGCTGCAAAGACTTTACACATACTTTATATGATCAGTGTTTGTGTGCACAAGTGTTTATGTGTTCTCTGTGTGTGTGTGTTTGTTACCTGGCAACGAGGAGGAGGAGTGTGTGCGAGCGAGGCCCTGCGTGTGGAGATTGGGCTTTGGGGAAAAGCAGAGCACACGTTGACATTAACGTCACCGTCTAGTAAAGTGACCACGTGTGAGAATAAATAAGAAGATTGTCACACAGGCACAAATAAAGTGTACAATCACACTGTAGCAGAGGACTTTCTTATTAATGACTGTTCAACATTGATGACTAAGTTCTCTTATTACAATCATTGTAAGGAACACGCTGTGTTCGTTAATTGTTGTCTCTGACATCTGATGATGACATCAGAAGATTGGATTTCTGAACCACAACATATAAAATCCCACAGTAATCAACTGAATTCCAAACCCTCGCCAGACACACACAGAAATAAAAGCTAATTTAAATGGATAGGTAGATACAGCTTTATTGTAATTGCACAGTACAGGTACTCAGCAACGAAATGCAGTTCAGCATCTACCAGAAGTGTGGTTAAATATGTAAATATATAACTATATACAGCAAATAAATAATATAATAAATATAAAAAAAATATAAAATTCTTATAAAATGTTGAAAAGAGTGAATACAAACCTGTGAGGCAGACAGTGAGCCGACTCCGCTCAGACAAGGCAGACGAGCAGTGTCTCTGGGACTGAGTGGTTCCAAAGGCTCTCTCCTCATCAGGGCCTCTGCCCGACTGATGATGTCCCTCATGCGGTGGATGAATCCCTCTCTCTCCTCAGGTAGAATAAACTCATTATGTACCTAAAAGGGGTGCAAAGAGACAGATCAGTTAACTGGGTTGACGTAATTTTGAGTTCTCTTGTGTGCTCTTTTGAGCAGACTTTCTTGATGAGTTCAAAGTTCTCCTTCAAAGCTACTGGAATTCAATATTGAGCAGTGATTCAGTGCAGTGAACAAAGACATGTACTCATAATGTAGCGTAGGGAAACACTACCGCCTATATTTAAGACAGTAGTCCAGTCTATAGGCCAAGGACAGGCTGATCAAAACAACTTTTAGTCAGAGCTAACACAAAGAAGTCAAAGAAAGCAGCTAACAAAAGTTATTCTCAGTATCTCTACTAAAAACACACTCACCCTAGATTCCATTTTACATACATTTTTTGAGCCTCATGTCAATACTGAAAAAAGTTGAAAACTCTTGCTATAGCATCTTAAAAACATGCTGCCAATTGTGCGACTGAAAAACACACAGAAGGGTCACAGCAGTCCTACAAGTCCACATGGTGCATGTCTCCATAGAAAAACATTATAGCAGCGACACAAAAACTAGAAATACATATTCCAGTGATTTTTAGCACTAACTGAGAATGCGATGGGTCACAAACCAGTTAATCTCCTGTAGGCTAAAAATGTCAAAAATAGCTGACAAGTCACAATGGACACATAAGAACTGGTTTTCCACTGGTAACTGAAGATGCTACAGTACAAAATGTTTTAGATGAACACATGAGAGAAATGGTGCATAGATTTTCCACTGTAGGTTTGAGGTTGCAGAGTTTGTGCAAACACAGAAGCTGAAGCATCAACACTTCTCATGCTATAATGCAGTTCTCACAAGGAGTGTCGCCTTATCTCTGTCCTTGTGTCCTCTTTGACCTCCATAACTTTCAGTTTACAGATATTTAGTGGAGTATAGTGGAGACTGGGGGCAATTGTAATGTTTAACTTCCTTCAAAACAGACTATTTGGAAATTGTATAATTATTTACAGATTTTTTTTATTATTATTGACAGTTACTCTTTATATAATTATTTTATTTGATATTTTATTGTATATTTATTTTCTATTCTATTTTAATGTAATGTAATTTAATATTTTTTACATATTTATATTTAATTTTGTATATTTTCATTTCATTTTATTTGAGATATTTTTATTTAATTTAATATTTTATTTCATTTTAATGTTTTTTCTTTTCTTTTTTTTTGAGAGTGTTGCTAGCTCACCATTACTGCAGCAATGTCTTCTGGGTTGTCTCCATCCAGATCGAATTTAAATGTCACCATCTTGCTGTTATGGGTCTGTAGTTGACACTCTACAACCCGATCCACTTTATCTGACAGCTGCATGAAGAAAGACACAGGTAGGGAATGATTCGAGAGCATTTATCTGTGAGTATATCACAAAAAGGCAACTGATTTTGAAAGCAGTTATCCATTTTTTGAGTTAAGACACGTTTTCCGACTCAGTATTAGCATACTGTAAGGTTAGGAACCACGTATGGACAGTTAACCAAGGCTAGCTAATTGACAGATGAGTCACCCCAGTGATGTGTAGCCGTGAGCGAGCCCTCTTCCTGAGCAGCTTGGTTCCGGTGCGTTTGTTCTGACCTTTCCCGCCTCTCTCCGAAAGACCCTCGTTTCCGTCACTCAAACCAGAGGTAACATCAGAAGCATAGCTGTTCCGAAAGGAAGGATATAATACACATGGTGACATTCCGACTTCCTGAATTTCACAGAACTGCACTTCACAGAATGTTTCTTTTATCAGTTTACCATTAGCACATAAATGCCAAGTAATTTACGACAGATCTTCTAAACCAGGTTGAGCTAATTGAGTAAAAAGCAACAGCGTCCTTGTGTACCCATCTGACCATATGCTACCTTTGCTTTGCCTTCATCTGGCTTCCTACAGAAATGGCCTTCATGGTAAATTGCTCCCCTGAGCTAAATCATTACCATTAATGCACTTACCACTAGGCTATGTGCAGTGTATGTGTGTGTCTCTATGAGTCACACAAAAAAAGAACTGCTCTCCACCGGAGCACTACAGGCACCGTGGGTAAACGTGGCACGATGTTGGTCAGCTGGTGAGTAAGATTACAGCTCTCACAGCTGGGATCAGGTCCACATTTTCTTGACGTCAAAACAAAAGTCACATCCACACGCACAGTGGGGGAGGTTTTATTTAAATAACGGTCTTGTATAGGACTGATTCTACGTTCTTAGCTTAACAGGTTAAGACCAGGCTGATGAAGTTGCAGGGCATTTAAAGTGAGCATTTTTAGACAGATATCCCATGTTCAGTGTGTAGGGAGTAGTGAACACTGTGTATGGACCCTGTTAATCAGAACTCAGCTTACCTGTCGACAGGAGAGGAAAAACCACTGGTATTTCCTGACTGGGCCCTCTCTGTGTTTTGGGACACAGCAATGCTCTGTGGGAGGCAAAGGAAAACAATTAGCAATGCAAATTGTGTCTCAAATGAGGTAAACCTTATTCAAATGAACATTTTATTTGATCATATAGACACATTATATGATCATCTTTGTAGAATCAGAAATCTCACATTTGCACGTTAACTTTAAATTATTAGTATATATGTACACTACCATTCAAACGATTGGGATTGATAGGATTTTTGAAAGAAGTCTCATTAATGCATAATCTCAAAGGCTGCATTTATTTGATCATAATGCAGTAAAACCAGCAATACTGTGAAATATGATCACAAATTAAAATAAGATTTTTCTATTTCAATATACTTTAAACTGTAATTCATTCCTGTGATGCAAAGCTGTATTTTCAGCATCATTACTCCAGTCTTCAGTGTCACATGATCCTTCAGAAATCATTCTAAAAAAATGTCTCAAAAAAAAAAATTTCTTATTAGTATCAAGGTTAAAAACAGTTATACTGCTTTTTTTGTGGAAACTGTGACCATTTTTTTCAGGATTCTTTGATGAATAGAAATGTAAAAAAAACAGCATTTATTTGAAATAGAGATCTTTTGTAACATTATAAATGCCTTTATTGTCACTTTTGAGTCAAACTTTTCATTGTTGGTAACCTACCGAGGGGAAACGGAGAGCTGGGATCGCTGCAGCTGGAGTGGGAGGGGCTTCAATGGGTGGGGTTTCCACGCGAGGGGCTCCACTGGTTGGTTGTGGAGCTGTGGAGGGTTGGTTTGCCACAGGAACTCGAGCTTCTGAAGGTTCCTGAAGCCCAGAGGAGCTGAGGTATCCATCCGTCTCACAGTCAGCTGCCATGGTAACCACAGTTCAACCAAACAAGCGGAAAGTAGTTTGCTAGTATGCAGCTTACTGATATTGCTAAAGTGCATAGAGATGTCTTGCACGACCTAGCAAGGCATAAGTGGTTAGTTCCATAAACATAGTCCCTATGTTAAGACTGTGTTTGACCAGCTAGCAGTTAGGCACAGAGTAATCATTTAAATTAGTCCAATCTAACATTTTGTAACTGACTTTAAAAAAAATTATGACCCGCCTTAAAGAAAAAAAAATTTGATGAATAACTTTTTAAGACTAGTCTAAGCAGTTTATACAACTGGCCACAGGTTATACAACGCCTTTCATGGAGGTTGACTATTTTAAAAGAATTTCAGATAAACTAGACCATTAGCTTTTTTCTACAGGACCTTGAGGACACTAACGTTTTTGTAATATACACTACTGTTCAAAAGTTTCATGTCAGTAAGATTGTCAAAAAGAAGTCTCATGCTCACCAAGGCTGCATTTATTTGATAAAAAATACTGTGAAAATATTGTGAACTATCATTACAATTAAATTTTTTTTTTTGTATTACTATTTTAATTACATGTGAAATAACATGATCCCTGAGAAATCATTCTACTATAATGACTTGGTGCTCAGGAAACATTTCTTATTATTATTAATGTTGAAAATAGCTGTGCTGCTATTAATATTTTTTGTGGAAACCATGACATTTTTTTCCCAGGATTCTTTGATGAATAGAAATGTACAAAACAGCATTTATTTGAAATATAAATCTTTTATAATATCAATTTCTTTACTGTCACTTTTGATCAATTTAATGAATCCTTGCTGAATAAAAGTATTCATTTCTTTAAAAGAAAATCTTACTGACCCAAAACTTTTGAATGGTTGTGCATTTGTGTAAATCTAAAATAAAATGATACATACCATGGTCACTAATTGGAGCCAGATTGTGTGCACTGGATCAAATGAAAACTAGACTAAAAAAACATGTACAAAATGGAAACGACTGACAAACATTTGACAAATTATTTTTTCTTCTTTGAATTTAAAGCATTCAAATGCTGTTTCAAATCATTCTGGCCCAATTTAAAAAGCTTGGACGTATATCTAAAGATGTTATCTATTTAAAAAAACAAAACAAATTTACCCATCTAAATTGCCGCGTAAGTTAGTAAACATTCTGTACATGCAAATGGTTCAGTAATGAATATATGCTGACACACTGTACAATGTAGCAACTGTTTATCCACAAGTAAATCATGTTGGTTTTAAAGGTCGTTTGGTCATGATAAACATCTTTGAAGTTTTGGTTGGCCAGGGGAGACATGTGGTTCAATATTCCTGGAACAATATTCCAATCCACCAGTCAAGGAAAAGTTTACAGTTATTATCACGTTTAGACTTGCGACCAGTGTTAGGACCTTCTACACTCTTCTACATTCTTATTCACCTATGATTTCCCTCTAATTTTAGGGGTAAGTAACAGTTAAGCTTAGGTTTCGGGGTTGGTATAAAGTTAGAACTATGCTTCTAGACCAGAGTGTTGATTCACAAACATGTCTTACTTGGCCAAATCACATCAACCTTAATTGCGTGTGTGTGTGACAAAGTCATGGAAAAATACAGTCCTGCTACTGGAGGGCCACCTTCTTGCAGAGTTCAGCTCCAACTTGCCCCAACACACCTGTCTTGTAATCCTGAAGACCTTGATTAGCTGGTTCAGGTGTGTTTTCTTGTGATTGGAGCTAAACTTTGCAGGATAGTGGCCCTCCAGGAGCAGGTTTGGACACCCCTGAGAAAGGGTGAATTTCCATTTCATGCTGACTTTGACATACACAAGAGCACACAAACTTACACGTTGCTGATGAGTAGCTGGCGTGACGTATGTTGAAATGCTGCCGCTTGTCCGCGTCTGGCTCCTCGGGTTCAGTGGCAAAGCTGGCGTTAAAGCCAGAGTCCAGAGATTCGTTTGCAGACAGGGAAATGGGGCCTGACACTGTGACAGTGGGCGGAGCTTGAGTAGGGGTGGATACGGGAGTCTCTACAGGAGGCTTAGGAGCAGGTGGGTTAGAAACTGAAGGTTCGGCTTCAAGACTAGGTTCGGGTTCCTCCTCAATCACCTCCTCTTGTCGCCGTCTCTGGGCCTCTTCTGCCTGTCGACGGAGCTTTTCTCGTTGGCGCTTGATGGCGGTGACACGGTGACGGATGGCTTTGGCCACCAGTTTGTAGTCTGCCTCACAGACAAATCCAAGAACAACCTGAAGGATACAGATTAGTTATCTGTTCAGTGATGGCACAGAAATTACAAAAAAAAACAAAACAATAGAATATAATCTCCATCAAATCAAGATTTTCGATCTCACCATCTCCTGAGCCACTTCTTCTGGGACGTCCTTGTAGAGTTCAAACAGGAACTCAATGGCGTTGTTGTCCTTATATTTGCCATGGAGCTTCTTGGTGTCATCCATTCGAAGCCATAGTTTAAGGCCAGACTTCACCATGTCATCCTCCTCAGCCAATTCGACATGGACACCATTATTCTCCTGGAAGAAGGTGTGCTCTAACAGGTCCTGGATAGTGTACCTAAACAAGATAACAAGAAAACACATAAGATCATATACTTCCTTCGGGGTTTTACAAAAGGGCATCAAGGTTTGGCTGGTTAGCATGATCTAGTTAGCCCCTACTGGTACTGCAGATGTTTTAACTACACCATCTGACTGCAAAAAAACAAACAAAACAAAAACATATTTTTCCACTAGAAGCAACTGAAAATTAGCTCTGTATTTTGACCACATTTCTTTTTTTCTTTTTTTTTTACAAGCGACATGCAAGTGACAAATATTAATTACTATCCTAAACTAGCTATTTTAAGCTATTTTGATGAATGCTGTTTACATGAGTTATTGCTTTTAATAAATGCTAATTTCACGATTTTTAAGATAATTTACAACCAGATTTCCTTGTTGCTAAGATTACAATGTCTTTGTGAAACACATAACAATAAAAAAGCAAAAACCTAGCATAATAAGGTCTCACATCTTATGGTAGATGGACTGTCAGGCAAGCACTTTGAGTTCTTAATGTGATTGAGAGTAAGAACATTCATCCACAAAAACTGGAGTTAATTAAATCAACACTATTAATCATCAGAATTACCTGCTGCTGGATGGAGTGAGTCATTACTAGTGGCTATTGACCAAACGCTTTACATAATCATTGGGTGACATATTAAATGGACAATTTTACAGGCAGAAATGTGTTATGTTGAATTGATTACACGATTATGAGGATATTTTGGGTAGAACAAAAGTGGTGTGATTGAGTGATTGCAAGTGGAGAACAGGTTGGTTACTGATGGAAACTGTTAGTTACTTTTTTAGTATAAAAGGGAAAAAAGCTAACAATTAATATACTTACATTTCTTTTAATATGTTTCAAGCATATTATTGTAAATAAAAATTAATTTCACCCAATATCTGTGCACTATGCTATGCAACATATATGCTAATGCTAAACTTTATTTGGAGTCATGTGTTGTGCTATTTGTGTAGCTGCCAAAGTAGAGTGTTTCAAATTGGTCACTTATATATATATATATATATATATATATTAGGGCTGCCATCGTTAACGCGTTAACGCAATTTTACAATCCTTAACGCGTTAAAATAATTTAACGCAAAATTACTGAAGCACAATTTCTATTCTAACCCTTCAACCCAATTTTGCTACTCTGCTTGTGATCAGATCATTTTAAGCCGCTAAACTCCAGGAAAGTTTTCAGTCCAATGATCCAGTAAGCGAATGCATTCAAACAATCAGTCCAAAACAGCGCTAATATAAAGGAAACCAAGCTGATTACATCAGAGATTGCACGCGAGCTCTCACACGTTGCTCTGTGTGAAGTACAGGCTGAACGGATTGTCAACACATCCCACCACTGTATGACCAGATGAAACGCAAACTACGTTTTCTCAACTGGATAACCAGTCTCGCTAGTAAAATTTTGATGGATGAAGACTTCCGTACATTCACGTTGTTTCCACGCACATTCACAAATGTTTTGATTTGTCATGTTTATGTTGCTGTGTTTAGTTATACGGAATGGATCCATGTACTGTAGTAGATGCAGTCAGCAGGCGATTGGTTTAGGTATTTTTGGCATCTCCATGTGGTCCTGTTCGGTTACACAACTTGGCTTCTCTAAAATGTAAAAAATATAGATTTTTGAGAATCACCCTTCAATCTATTGGTTTACTTTGCTGGATATAGCAAATGATGACAAAATAAACATTTGAAACAAGATAAATGGTCTATGCTTAATTTCATGAAGTGTGCAATTAATCACAGAAAAAGGATGTGATTAATCAGATTAAAAAATGTAATCGATTGACAGCCCTAATATATATATATATATATATGTGTGCTGATATTGCATTTTAGGCATCAGTAATCTAAAACGGACTGTTTCAGAAAAGCCACA